AGTCACTGCCATGGCTGGTAACAAAGTGCAACCTGTGCTCTCGTTTCTGAAACAGGACATCTCAAAATGGAGCGCTGGGAGGAAAACTCAAGCGTCAAGATGTCTTTCAGGAGACTTCAGCTTTTATATGACAATAAATTTAAAAGATTCTGCGAAAACTGAGTGTGTTTATGGGTACCGGATCCTCCTACTCAGAACAGCGGCTTTTGAGAACACATTTATTAGAACATACACAAGATAATAAAAGGCAAATATGTAAGAATCTGAAAGGAGACGTCTGTGGCAATGAAAATATGTTATTCCAGAATTTGTATGAGAAGACTACGTGCTGTCTTGGCACCAACTCGGCACAGATTTAAACCGAATAACCTGCAGATGTTAATTCAGAAAATGCTCAGTCTTACCAAAGCCTTGACCGCGTTATAGCTCACACGGTTAGTCGCTGGTTTCCCACCGCGGTGCCCCGGGTTCGAAAGTGGGTCTGGTCATGCCGGATTTTTGGCGGATATAGTGGCATTATGGCAGGCTCTTTCCGAGTACTTCCGTTTCACCTGCCAATCTTCATTCCACCAATTGCTCCACAACCACCCTCACCTATCATCTGGGGCTGGTACAATAGGCCAGAAGTGGCCGCAGTATCAAGCGGACTCAGTCTCACCCCACTAATAATAAAAATAATAATAATACAAAAGCTTTATTAAAATAAGTTTTCAAGAAAAACTAAGAAGAGAGATGCACTTCAAAGTAGCTAAAATTACTTCAGTTTCATTTAACTTCTTTTATTTTCTATCTCCATTTTTGTTCCTCCCTTCAGCACGCACGTCCTCTCAACAAATTGATTTCATGGAGATTTTCCGAACCCTATATACGTCCCTTTGATGGCAGATTCTATTTCCCAGAGTCTGCTGGTTCCAGTATGTTTTCTTCCTTTTTATGCGCGTTTCGTCCGGACTTCGCAGTCGAATCCTACTTTCTGTTTATAATTGAACTGTGACCTCCTGAGTGCCATGGTGCACTAGACGCTAGAAAAGTTCCCTTAGTGCTGCCAACTTGAAAACGTTTTCTTCTCTTTACTTACATCGTAAATATTCAACGTTCCATATTGAATACTGCGCATGCGCCATCTCGCTGTGTTTCCTTCTCAGTTCTGTATAGGCCAGCGAGTTCTCTTTTTGCATGTGTATGTAAAGTATCGAATCAAATTCCCGAGCGTCGATTCGAATATTAATCAAACTCACCGCCATATTCTGGAGGGGAGGGCGGAGTGGTGTATGTATATAGGAATGGGTAAAGTTGCAGATGGGCCGCGTCTCCTCCTATGCTTGTACTGCGGTCTATTTTTAAACTATATATATATATTTTTTATTACTTTCTGCGCTATGTAAAAGCCCGCATTTCCCTCAGAATATTTCAGTCGAAGTCTTCTTGAAGTGTATGTGGCATGCTAGGTTACTGTGAGTTTACAATACAATATTTATCGATTTGTAACCTTCTAACAGAGTTATATCAACTACGCGGACTGGGAGAATTTGGTGCATGCAGAATGTGAGGTGTGCCAACAAGAATCGCTCGTATATACCAGGCAAATTCAAATGACTTTCATATTCTCCGCAATGTTCAGATGACTTCTGAGGCTCACTCGTACTCCTATCCGGCCTGTGAAGCGAGTCTGGCGCAAATCTAACCATCCACTTAATAATGAGCGCAAATGTTAAGTAAGCAGGAAATCCTATCTATATATCTATATATCCCTATCTATATACTATTTACCTATATTAATTACACAGATTGTGCTGCTTATTTTCAAGTGAAATAGAAAACTGGCCTTGAAGGACTTAAGGAAGAAATGTATGTCTGCAAGACAAATAAAATAAATTAGAATCCTTACTCCCGTTAAGTGATAATACAAATACATCGTACGAAGTACAGGACTATTCAGACTTATTCAAAGAAAACATCTGATGGACACTTATTTTTCGCTTAGTGGGAGGCGGTGGAATACAACTGGGTACACTCGGCACGGCGGCCACTGACCGGCCTATTGTACCTGCCCCGGTCATGATGATGGAGAATTTGGTGGAATGAAGATTAGCAGGGGAAACCGAAGTACTCGGAGAAAACCCGCCCCAGCACCACTTTGTTTGCCACAAATCCCACTTGACCAGACCCGGGATCGACCCCGGCCCGCCGCGGTGGGAACCCAGCGACTAACCGCTTGAGCTACGACGCGGCCTGATTGACACTTACTTTAATTATTTTGGTGCCGTTGCCATCCATATGAGCATTAAAATATTATACAGGATGCCTCACTACTTCATGTCAGAGGAGTTTATTTTTGTGGCCATTGTACGTCAGAAAAATTTTATCAACCGATTTTGATTCCGAACGATTTCAAATATGTTCACAGAGAAATTTCAGAGATAAACAAGACGGGCACGTTTACTACGACAATAAATTACACTTAATATCTTTGCATCTAAACAAATATCCTGACTTTACACAACTGGAACAAATGTCCAAAAATCCTCCTTCGTCTTCGATATAATTCTTGCTAGATTCAAAGCAAAACGTGTAACGCGATAAAAAGGGGGGGGGGTCCGATAATTGTTGCGTGTAACCGCATCGACAGTGCAATGTGTATCCAACAAGCCTACATAAACAAGATCCTTCATGAACTCCATACGTGGAAGGCTTAGGGAATTGAGCTTTGGTGATCGTAGGGCCAGTTCCAAGGACCCTCATCCTTGGGGCAAATCCAGTAACCAGGAAATAGCTTACTGAGATATTATGGTGAGTGTCAAGTGATATGTGGAGTTCTTCAGGGCATGAAAAGTCACGTACAACTCTTAAGTGTCATTTCTTTTTATAACAGACGTGTTCGTCATAACCAAATTTCTGAAATTTCCCTGCTGATAGTTATGTTAACGTTGAAAATCGTATGCACACTGATATACCATTTTTCAGTCAAAATTACCTCAGCCATATTCGTCTGAAATTATGACATGCAGTTCTGAAAACTCGGTAAATTTTATAGAAGCAAATTTAGTTATAAAAAGAGTTTGTAGTTGCTACGACTTTCGAATTAATTTGTAACAAACGGGCTTAATGTATTGCCAAGAAACTGAGTAGCCGGGTGCGTAAATTGCACTGTTAATTTTCGAAGTATTGTATTAACGTTTACCTTGTGGTTTTCCGATGAATTTGTATATTATCAAAAATTCTGGCCTAAATGTGTTATAAAATAATGACGAATATTTTATTAACAAAGTGTTTTGATAAATATTTCAATACTGAAGAAGTGTAGGTCAAAAAGTGTCAAATGTGTTTTCAAAAGCTTTCATACTGTTCTGACATCTAGACTGGCAAACTAATTGAAGTAGAACTTCAAATCGAAGAACTGCGCATCTTCTGGCAAATGTTTGTTATGACAAAGTGACGAAAGTGCATTAAGAAGAGTCTACAAAGTGAAGCTGGCTGGGTTTTAAAGACGTGTTCGCATGGTGATGAAATGTGGATTATTAAATTGTTTAACCAACAACACATATCGATGAACTACGCCAGTGGACGAATTTAAAATAGCGTGTAGAGGACATGGAAGACGACGTTATAACATGGACGGACGTAAGTAACGCCTATGATGAAGACGTCGGTAACAGAAAAATTATCTCAATTAAAATTAATTTTTATAATTTAATTTCAGCCATAATTTGCTTCATTGTGCTTTATGTTACTACGCAGTTGCATATGATTGAGAGAAACGCAAATTATTTCTATATAAACAAGTTACGGATTTATAATAATAAACAAATTTTCAAGGGAACAGTTTTCTGGGATATGGCGTCGTGTATATGTGTTAACCGACGTTTCGGAGGAACATATCGCCTCAATCTTCATTAGTCTGTTAGCACCTACTCACGCTGGTTCCCCGCTCGCAGATTTTCTTCTTATTTCTTATACCCTGAAGATGGAAGCGATACGTTCCTCCGAAAAGTCGGTTAACACAATATCTAACGGCGCCACATCCCAGAAGACTGATTTCTTCATAATGATCACCGAGAAAACCTCAAATCTTACAAATTTTCAAGGATTTAGCAAAATACTGCTGAAGTACTTATGCAAACATGAGGAGCAGTAGCTGAATGTAGTCGTTCGCAGTACGTAACGAATCACCTCTAATACTGGTGATAGAGTTTAAATGCCATCAGTACTCTTGTCCAAGCTATATTTCGGCCTGATTATGGTCATAGTCATCAGCTGATGTTCGGACTGTTCTCACACTGCAATTAATGTGAGTCCGACGCGGAAATGCCTTTATTACTGTGACGTATTGCTTGTGAGGCTGACGCGCCTCTAAACCGCTGTGCAGTTAACTGCAAGGTATGAGCACAATTACAGGCAAGTTTTCTGCCCTCTGAAGCAACCCCTATACACGCTTAACATTCATTCTTGCAATAAGAATGCAAGAAAAATTGTGTATTAGACTACTTTAGATGCGTTGAAGATGGTGTTCCTCTATGTAAGATTTGAGGCTTTCACGGCGGTGACTATGAAGAAAGCAGTCTGCTTTTACCGTTCTCACGGTCTTGTCGCTTGCAGATTTCTTATACTTTTTCTTCTACCCTGAAGATGGAGGCGATACGTTCCTCCGAAACGTCGGTTAACACCACATATACACGGTGCCAAATCCCAGAAGACTGCTTTCTTCATGGTGTTCTCTATATTGCATTTCGGCCCTCACGTCCAATCCCCAGCCTAAAGTGGGCAATGTATGGATATACGGATACATGGATACTTCATCTTCGTTTGTAACCTATCAGTTTTAGTACCTCACTAAAACTCAAAAGAAAGGAACTACATAAAATCCTGCATTTCAGCAAGTGTATGTACGGGTATCACATTGCTCCATTTCTGCGTCTCAAGAATTACACTGCTCCATGAAGTTTATTAGTTACCATGTAAAGAGTTAACTGTTTTCTCACAAACACAACACTCGTACTTACCAATGACGGTGAGGTTGACCCTGGAATTCCTCGTCTGCGCCATTTTGAAGTCTACCCGACAGCGGTAAATTCCAGCGTCTTCCTTCCGAATGTTGTCAACCCCAAGTTCTGCGGGTTTCTTCTCCATCATAAAGAGGGCGCGGTTAGCGAAAACATTCTCATCAGACCAACGCTCAGCCTTTCCGAATTCCTGTTCCCGTGCGTCCACACTGCAAAACACAGTATTACAGAATTAGTCCTATATAGATGTCGAACACTAAAATAAAAAATAAATTCACGGAGTCTGTGATGTAGGCCTACCATTTTCTTTGAAAAGTTGGGGCATTCCCTACGACTTGTGTACGGGCCGTTCTGTGGACACCAGGTTGAAAGAACATCAACGGCATATACGATTAGAACATCCGGACAAGTCAGCCGTAGCTGAACACAGCATCGATCTAGACCACCGTATCCAGTTTCACAAAACCGCCATAATCACCAGTAAGAGCCGTTACATAGATCGCATAATTCTGGAGGCCGTTGAGATCGAGCTCCATCTGAACAACATGAACAAGGAAAGAGGGTTCAGCCTCAACAAGTCATGTCACTGACGCCAGTAGCCTGTCCCCTATATCATGTCATTGACGTCAGTAGCCTGTCCCCAACCAACCGGTTCTTGTCTACCGCACTTCCTAGTGCTATTGACCTCAAGTTTCCTGGATTCACTGGCCGTCCCCCCCCCCCAGCACACAACACCATATATGGTCTTAATCGCTCTCCACTGCTCCCATTGGTCCGTTCTCCCTAACCAAACCTCCTGCCTATTCGCATATAAGCAGCGCCTTTCACATCCTATCACTACAGCTACTGCTCTCTGCATTCCAAGCCATCCAACTGCTCTGAAGATGGAGGCGCTACGGTCCTCCGAAACGTCGGCCAAAACGAAGAATACACGGTGCCTAAACCCAGAAGACGACTTTCTTCATAGTCATCGCCGTGAAAACCTCAAAACTTACAATATGTCAGCTTTGTTTTGAAGGACTATGGATAATCATAAAATATCTCGCCCAAGGTAGCCGGTGTCCCAGACGAGATTCGAATAAGGTTACTTGCCGAACACAAATAGTATTGTGCTTTACCGCTTCAGCCAATCTGCACAGAACTCTAAGGTTCATCCACGTGATCACAGGAGCTCGCAACTTGATGTTATCCTGGACTAGCCAAGTCCAGTTTATTACATATTCCAGGTATTGTGTATTAACTTCCAATATAAGATTACCTCACCAAAACTTTCTCTTCTTTGATATTTTCCAAGTAAATTTATCGTCTCCCTCACACAAACTAAATTCCAAAATTACCTCATCCTTCTTCGTTTAATTTAATTATCAGACTGATATAACGTAAAGAGTGTCGTCCCATTTATTCAATTTTATACTAAAACATAAAAATTCTCATTACCAAATACCATTAAATTTCTTTTATTTCACGTTTCCAATTAGCACAGAAATGCACTTAGTCAATGTCGCATTCATTTGTAACACGAATAACAAGTCCAAGTTCGAGTCATATTGCCAAAATATCAAGGGAACAAGGAACTTGGCAAATTTGGTCCTAAGCGATGGATTAATATTGCAATAGATGTTAAGGGACCTGCATTTCAAAAGTGTTCGAGACTCAAATGAGAGAGGAAGATTTCCCCACCAAGTCTCCCTCTCTCCCTTGCAGATACCCAAATGATGAGCCTTTTGCTGACGGTGTTTCACAAACCACTGCGCTATGGAGACGAGTTACAGCCATATGCTGGGGGACATACGGCTTTTCCAAATGTAGCAAATACAGCAAAACCAAAGACATAATAGATCATTGTCTGTAAATTCGTTATCAAATTATATGGACTATCAACTTTAGGTTATTTAAAAATGTTGTTCCTTCTGAAGAAGTTACGGGTATCGCAAAGGACTGGAAGACGGTCAGTAATAATCACCAAGCAAGGAGCTGTAAAGAAGTATTTTGGATGTTTCGGGATACTGTTTCGTCATTAGTGTGAAAAATATGAAAGAATGTACGCGAAAACACGACCAAGATAAGCAGTGATTTTGCTGAAATTGCAGTATGATATATCCCGAATTAAGTCTTAAAAGTCAGTGATGTACCAATTTCTATGCGTCAAGAGTGACACAATATAAAATATATTTTGTGTAACATTTTGGTGAAACACCTACAGCAGCAGACCGGCAGTTTCGACTGTGTGCAGCAAACATAATCAATAGTTCATCATACGTGATGAAGAGGCATACAGAAAAAAAGTAATTATACCGCCTCTTCGTCCCTATGATAAAGTGGTTTCGAAAACAGATTGGGTCTGAATCACTGGCTCTAAACCATTCCAATGATGTGTCATGGATTCAACAGACAATAAAAGTCGAAATCAATAATATTAGCTTTTAATTCATATCATAATGGTTAAGGACGTCAACACATTAAGAGCCAAATGAATATTCATAATAATGTCCATGCAAGAAGGACATTTGCTTCAGAGAATATTTCTTGCACGGACCGTGTCATAGCTCAGCGGCGTCCACGGTTCGGGCTCAGGTCAAATTATGTGGGATTTGGGGTGGACAATGTGGCACTGGGGCAGGTTTTTCCGAATATTTAATTTCTACTGCCAATTTTTATTCTACTGACTGTTCCACAATCATCATCTATCATCTTGGCTGGTACAATAGGCCAAGTACTGGCTTATGTGCCAAAGGACTCAGTCTCACCCCATCAAAAGAAATTAAAAAATTAAAAATAAATACTTCTTCCACACTTCCTAAATCGTTATCTATTGATACCACAGACGTAAATTACCAACTGGGACAATGAATTAAAAGACCAAATTCATTAACCTCGAGAAGCACATAATACTTCTAAAAATTGGCTCAAAATAATTTAGGACAAACATGGCATTTAATCTGCAAGGACACATCTTTGTGAAGAGATGTAGGATATTCACTACTTTACATTTTAAAGTACACATTGCCAATAGCAAACTGTAACTTCGGGCTTTGTCACAACACTAGCAATATGACTGAGTCACATTTGAAAAAAAAAACAGATTGCAACGTTTCCAATTGCATGCACAATCGTTTCCAAAATTAGCGTTTTTTTTTAGAACCAAATGCGAACAAAGTGGGAAAGAGAATTATGCATACCTCAAAAAGGGTCGCATTTGTATCATCTTACTCATCGCCACACTGCGCCCAAGGTGTGGCGCTGGGCCCTCCCACAAAGAAACAGCAATTCTTGAAATATATATTTTCTGAACTGAATGTTTCAGGAGATTCCGATGTAGTGGAATGAGAACAATTCACTGGGTTGAAGACCAGGATTCAATTTCAGGAGGCGGATAATTCTTATGCTACGTCACCAAAACGGCTCTATGTTCGAGTAAACCACAACATCGATCGGTAGAAAAATTTCGAACTTCATAATCAATACGAACAGGACACTGATGGTCCTACCAGGCCTCAAATCCAAAGGGTCCAGGTGTATATGAGTCCTATCAACGTTTCCATCCACTGGACAAGTGAGAAATATGATATTGCCAATCATTAAACCCACAAGGCACAGGACACCGTTGACCCTATTAGGCCTTCAATATTGTAGCATGTAGAGCCGTTACTGTGTAACGACCTCGGAAAAAAACAACGAAAGAACTTCCTTTACTAGGAAACGACAGCGAGCTAAGAAAATATACCGGAGCCGTTACGGGGTAACGCCATCTCAAACCAAACACGCTCCCACTGAAATTATTTGAGCAACAATAGTAGAGCTGGAATTTCTGTTGGTCCGAAACTAGCTGTCATAACAAACCTGCAATTCAATGATTATAGGAGAGTTCTATTACCAACAAGCCAGCGTTTCAAAGGATACCAGAGATTACTGCCAACAAGCCTACAACCCGAAGGATACAGGAGACTCCAGGTCCTAAAACGGATAAATCCAGAAGATTTAGGAGATGCTTGGTCCTATCAACGTAACACTGCAATGAATACAGAAGACTGTTGGCCCTAACAAACCATCAAATCAAACTGTAGAGAAAACTTGTACAGACCAAGAATCCTCTCTGAATAATATACAAGAACTTTAATTCTAATAAGCCTACATTCGCCGGTCACGGTAGCCGAGCGGTCTAAGGCATGTATTGTCTTCGCTCGCTTGGAAACCGGAATCGTGGGTTCGAATCCCACTCAGGGCATGGATGTTTAGTTTGTGTGTGTGCGTTTTTCTATGTTTGTGTACAGGTAGAGGCCTTGCGACGAGCTGATCACCCGCCCAAGGAGTCCTACCGTATGTGTAAGATCGAGAAAAACCGAAGTGAACGGAAAATNGAGCTGATCACCCGCCCAAGGGGTCCTACCGTATGTGTAAGATCGAAAAAAACCGAAGTGAACTGAGAAGTCCATGGAGGTAGGCCTAGACCCACTGGGGCTGTAGTGCCAAGGGGAAAAAAAAAGCCTACATTCAAATGGACACTGGCAACTTCTAATCCTAACGAGGTTGAAGTCCTGTTGATGGACGAGGCTCTAGCCCTAACTGGTCTGCAATCCGAAAGGCAAAGAGGAATCTTTACTCCATTAATCCTCCACGTGAATCAATAGTGGACTCACCAAGCCTCCTATCCAGCTTTTGTGAAGGGACACCGGTCACTCGGAGCTTCAGAGACTTCTAGAGCTTCCAATGCAATGCAATGCAGTGGTTGGTTATTAACGATACTGACCGTGACCACACTCAATGGCATTGATAAGATAATTAATTAACGTGGGGTAGAGGACTGTGAGCTCATAGGAGAAACATAAGTTCTTGGAGAAAATCCGCCCCACTTTGTCAACCTCAAATTCAGATTCCAGATGTATTCAGCTGGGATCGAACCTGGACTGTCGCGGTTGGAAACCGGCTACTAACGTCCTGAGTTTTGGTATGGCCTATCGCTCTTTCTAAGATGTTAATGGTAATTACTAATCCTCATAATTTACAATTCTAAATTCCTTAAACTGGCCGTAGGCGTACACATCTCTTATAACATTCATAAATGGTACAGCTGTTTCTAAATATTTTAATGAAAATGAGCTGATCATTAAATTTATGCACTGCACGTTCGTTATGACAATGTGAATGTGTAACAGCATTTGTATATCTATTTGTACTTCCTGATCCAAACACATTTGCACAGCAGGTCACG